CTTAAATACAAAGTAAAATATGTCAGAATGGTTAAATGTTTAATTCATGAATAATAAGACACAATGTCAAAATAAAATATATATATATCAGAGCAGTTATTTCAAATATTTACTTCAGTTCATAAACAGTACATCACTTAAATACAAAGTAAAATATGTCAGAATGGTTAAATGTTTAATTCATGAATAATAAGACACAATGTCAAAATAAAATATATATATCAGAATGGTTATTTCAAATATTTACTTCAGTTCATAAACAGTACATCACTTAAATACAAAGTAAAATATGTCAGAATGGTTAAATGTTTAATTCATGAATAATAAGATACAATGTCAAAATAAAGTATATATATCAGAATGGTTATTTCAAATATTTACTTCATTTCATAAATAGTATGGCACTTAATAACAAAGTAAATGAACTTTCAAAAATATTAAAGAAAAATTGTATTACTTGAAAGAATACATGTTAAAACTGTTTTGCTTCTTACTGAAAAATATGAAGAGAATGATTATTCACTTTTAACTCTGTTATATGATTAATAAATGTTTTTGTAATTGTTTTGTTATTAAGTACAAAGCTGCACAATAGGCTATCTGTGTTGTGTCACCACAAGTATAGTAACCCAATTTTTAGCATTACAAGCCATGATATTTATCGATTTGCCAGGGTGCAATTAATTAATAACTAACCTGTTTTATATGTAACCATCTTGGAGAGTAAAATAATATATCCCAGCTTCTCAGGATCATTTTCTGCAAAGATGTCTACAATCACATCTGCAACTAACTGCAAGTAAGAATAAATAGTTGAAATTAATGAAGCTCATTCTCTAATGACAACCATGATGATCTAGTAGATTTGAAGAATTTCTGGGCTTAGAAGAATACTGAATAATTTGACAAAATCTATGGTATAAAGGAATCACTTTCCATACACCTTCCTTGATGTCCCTTCAGGGACTAGCACATAGTGAAAGCTTTCCAAACTCTAAAAATCTAACTAAAGTAATAACTTCACAAGTACATTCAGAAAAAAAATTCAACTATCAAGTGATGACAGTAAAGTCACAAAAAAATTCAATTCCAGTACCAAAAATCAAATCAAATCAAATACATTCATCCATAATAAGCAAAAAATGTCTTAAGGAGAAATTCACTTTTTACTCCAAACAGTATTTCATACATGCAATTACAGATTGTAGCATTTTTAATTCACTCTTCTTTTTTAAACAGCACTTCTCCAGCTTTTCAACATAAGGTGATAGTTTCATTAATTTAGAGTTCAATAATCAAATTCATTTTTCAGTTCTTTTTGCACATTTTCATAATTGAAGATGTAGTGGTAGCTTAGTGGCAAGATTTTCTAGTATTCTAAGGAGGAATTCTTCCTGAGAATGGACATGTTTGCTTGTTGTATTGAAACCCAATTTTTAGCATCATAATCCCTCACACTTACCACTGGGGTTGTTGGTATTACTGATATTGTAGTTTCAAAAACCCAATAAAAAAAACTGCTAGTTTATGAGTGAGAGTATCCACACATGATCCAATCAATCTTATAAAATTTATTTTGTGTACATTAGGTATCCATAAGATATTCTATAATGTGAACCAATTTCATTATAAATCATTTCAGATATTAAACATTAGGGGTACCCCTGAAGAAGAAATGTTCACCTTTCGAAAGCACTCAAAACTGTTAAAGCTTTAACTGGGTTTTTTTTTTTATTCAAAATTACTATACCTTTGCCCTTATCCACTTTAAGAATTACTAAATCATTTAACGAGTTGAGGTGTTTTATAGCTAAAAAATTCTTATTGTGAAAATGTTTATTGCTATTGTTGCTTACCATACAAAATCTGGCATTCACCTACCAATAGTCAAAAATTATATTGCAATGTTTGTTACTTGCTTCTTCAAGTTACTTATTTTCAACATTATTATATTATGCAACATGTGTACCTGTATCTCTGGAGCTGTCTGATAGTATTTTCGAGCAATTATTTTCTTTTGTTAATGAATCTTGACATGCAATACAGAAGGATAAGTATATTACATGCAAATAATTTTGGAGCATCACCACATCATCACAGTCCAAGTCATCATGTCTGGTTATACTTTATATAATAATAAGTATCACCCTGCAGCATACTTACCATTGCAAAAGGATATTCCATAAGGCTGTCAAGTACAAAGATTACCACTTCTTCCTGCAGGCTTTCTATAGTACATCTAGTGTATGATGACAATTGTTTCCCAATTCTCATTTCAGTAATTCAATCATACATAAATTCCCTGTTGCTGTGTCTAGCGGCTTTACTGGTGCACCTTCATATGGAATAGCATGAATATCTATTTCATTCTCCAGCTCCTTTAGGTATGCAACGACTGAACGAAAGGTATGACTGGAAGTTTTTATGTTGGTGAATCCACACCCTGTTGACCTTATTTTCAGACAGAAATCCTTAATTACATTGCATACTATTGCTTGAGACACATGGATGCATTTGCCACTACCTTTGTGTTTGTGGATTTTCACCTGCTCTAAAATGCCACATTTTGTTTTAATACAAAGGTTAGAGTATGACTTATTACAGGTCTCTTTCTGGATGGTTCTGGTTCCCTAAATTGATCCATGCTCCTTTGTTTTCTAATGTCATTATACAGAGGAGATATCCCCATCTTGAAAATTATAAATCCCTGAAAAGGCTGCCACATACCATTCCAGAAGGAGATATATTTTTGGTGGCATCATACTACCAAAAAAATGGCAAACAATGTCCAAAGTCAAAATCTAGTTCTGATACATGGCATTTTCCCTTGTCTTTATACTGGTTATAACTGTCATAACTTGCTAAGTTGCATTTTTAAAATCATTTTAACATATCATACCCAACCCTGTTTTAATATATCATACCCTACCCTGTAGTCCACCCTTCTGTCAGCAGTGTTGGTAGTAGTGCAGATCGTTTATAAAACTTTAAATATGTGGAATTGGTAATAACATACTAGCTTAAATAAAACAAATAATTATTTGACTAAACTAATATACATGCCTATTTTTAATACGAAGCTCTAACTTAACATTCCAAACTGAAATTCATGCATTGTGATATTACCTGAAAAACAAATTATTTGTTTTGTTTTTTTATCATACTATTAAGCCATTGTAAGATTTATGTGTATAATACAGTTCATTCTAAGCAACTGCAAGGCAAATAAATGGCTATTCAATGTTTTGTATACAACATGAGTACTTGGTATCTACAATAATAAGCATCTTTAGTGATTATTCAAACAATCACTTCTGGATAATGAACCTTTTCAAAGTTCAAGTTTAAAACAAATTCTTCACTGTTAATATTTATTAAGATATAAAATATCAGTCTTTATTCAATCATACACAAGAGCTATGTATGAATAGCTAATAAAAATTCAAATACACCTTTTACATACCTTATCAAGTTAGAAGTCTGAATGTATATGCTGCATTTTTGTTAATTTCTTTCCTTACTTTGCTTATTAAATATAACCTGCAATTTGCCTGTCACACAATTTGAGGCCTGCTTTCATAATCTCTTTTAAATTGCTCCATTTTTTCTAGATTTTTATTAGGTCTAGGAACAGAATATGCTCAGTGTTAATTTTTTCACAAGGTAATTGAAGGAAATATTAAACCACAAATACAATGCACTTCTAAGAACTTATGAGTGAAAGTAATAAATAATGCCTAACAATAATGTCAACCATACTACATCTATTAAATCCAGTTTCAACAAGGCATTTCACCAAATATCTAGCTGAGATATGATAAATTGCATGAATAACAACTGTTATAGTGTGAACTAAACTAAATTACTGAAGTGTAAATTTTATGTCCAACAACATCTACACATAATCAAGTTGAGTGACTTCGTACAACACATAGTTTTTATCGCAACCTTACAAATAAATTACAAAATAACAAATTTAAGTTTACTCAGTCTACCTTTAAATATATCTAAACTAAAGTACTACATCTGGTATATTTCAATTAGTAGTTAGTCAGAAGGAACATTACAATTATATATGCATACTTATATGGGAATAATTAACTACTTCAGTATCTATATTTCATATTTTCTTTTATATACTTTAAAAAAAAAGTATATTATTAGTCTACTATACATTAATTTAATAATTTACGAGAAGTTTTTGTTACATTACTTCAAAAAAAGAAGAATCCTAAAACATACTCAAAGCAGTTATATTTGCTTTCTAAAGCACTACACTGCAGTCCAGCAAAAATATCCTTGAAATAGTCAACCTTAATTAATATGACAAATGTTTTGACCAAAAGTGCTAAGCTACAAAATGGGCTAAGAGTGATCTTTCCACTTCAGGGAATCCAGCTCCAGAATTGAGTGTTGTAAGTCTTTAATTTTACAGTTTATATGCTAAGAAACATTACCAGTCATTGAAAAATGCACCATACTTTACAATACTGTATTTCATTTCTAGAACCATTGTGAAATCATCATTATAGTAATTACATATACCAAAACACTGTTTTACAAATACTAACTTACTAAAGGAACAGTTACATAAGAAATCATCTGCACAATAGTAACCTAAAATAAAGCATTCAGATGTAACTAATTACAATAATGTTTACCATTATTATGACATCAGAAAGATACATACGTAGACAGAAAAAACTGTACCAGCACTTAAAGAATCTGTATAACAGTAGAACGTTTTGTTGAAATAGCATTAATAAAAATCCAAAAGCTATGCATAAGCTTTAACAGGCTGTACAATGTAGTTACAAAACCCCAACAATATTAATATCTTTAAAAAAAACGTAATTTGAACAAAACAATAATAGTTTTTGAAAGGTAGAGCTGAAATTTCATAATTGGCACAATTTCCTAAGCCTTACAGATATCAGACAATACAAAAGTTGCATATATATTTCATAACACTTTTTTTTAACCCTATCCTATACCTTAATATTACACTTAAAACACAATACCCTATACTAGCACTGTAGAAGCAAATCATTTTTTAAAAATGAGGAAAAATATGCATGTAAATACAAAAACATCTTTTCTTTAGTTGTTGTAGTCAATAAAACAACAGTTTCTAGCACAGCTAGAAGCATCTTGCTTCACTCATGACACTGTAATAGTCAGTTTTATAAATTTACACTCATGTTAAATTTTGTTATGAAATGAATCTCTAATAATTCATTTTTATGTTGTGTAAAAAATATACATTATTCGAACGTAATTTTCTCCTTACCTGAGATATTTCTTGAGAATCATCTGACATTTTAGTCAGTAGTTTGTAATTTAGGAAAAGTAGAAGACCCTGCATTATCTGAGAACTCTTTTTCTGGAAAAGTTATAAAAGTTTTTAATTTAAAAATTTAATTAACAAGCTGTTTAAGATGAAAACTCTTCAAAGTAAATTATAGAAAAATACTGCATAAAATAGAACATGAGACAGACTTAATTTCTATTCTAAGTTCTATATTAAAAAAAGCAATGATTATTAATGTTATGAAAAAACGGTATCAGAAATTGTGTTCATAATTCCCCTGTAAAATTTTTATCAGTCAACATTTTACACATGGACTATAAAGTTAATGAAACAAAATTGTACTTAATCATTTCCACAAGACCCAAATTAAACACTGATGGAACAAAAGACATGTAATGAGTGGAACAATGACAAACTGTTATAACAACATCCTACAATTCACAAAGTACATAAATATATGGAATCCATTTAACCCTCTTCAACATGGATGGCTTCTTAAACAAACTATTATAGTGCCTCAAGATTTTTTCATGAAAGCTGACAAAAAATATTTATACTTAGTACTATTGATAATTTTAAAGTCAATTTCTATTTTCATATATTTGATAGCATACATTCAACTAGTAGAATGCATCATAACTTTTCTAAATGAAAATGTATTTCTGATAGGTACTTCCCTCCACTCACAAGATTAGCTTTTCTTGTTTTGTGCTGCCCTCTATATGCAAACTTTTCAGAAATGCATGCCACAAGCCTTCATCCTCCTTCTCTCATGCAAATCACCAGGCATCACTTCTTCACCAATAGAAGAGCACTACTATCACTTGATGGCAGAAGATATTTAAGATCACATTGTATCCTCTCCCATGTGGATGTGCTCCCTTTAATCACCTCTTCACCAATAGAAGAGCACTACTATCACTTGATGGCAGAAGATATTTAAGATCACATTGCTAAACTATCCTCTCCCATGTGGATGTGCTCCCTTTAATGTTCCACTATGTCTGGTCCTCCTGACCATGTCGATGTTCCTGGCTCAGATGTGGTGCAGTATCCTCAGATCATCTGAGCTGTTCCTCTCATTTTGGGGATGTCCTCTGGATGCTTCCAGGGAAAGAGCCTGTGCTTTCCTCACACTGCTCCCTCCTCCATTTCAATGTGGGATTCAAGCTAATCATTTGAGAAGAGGGAGAGTACTTTATCGGAAGTTATAATTTTCCTAAATGAAAATGTATTTTCGATAGGTACTTCCCTCTTTTCATACTTCCCACCCATCCTTCCCACAATCTTCTGGTGCTCGCATCTTCTGCCAAATCTTGAAGTGATTGTTTGATAGTGGTGTGTAGAGGGAGTCACATGCATCACGTGATAGTAGTGCTCTCCTATTGGTGAAGAGGTGATAAATGTTGATTTGCATGGGAGAGGGAGGATGAAGGCTTGTGCCATGCATTCCTAAAGAAGTTTGCATATAGAGGGCAGCACAAAACAAGAAAAGCTAATCTTGTGAGTGGAGGGAGAGTACTTTATTGGAATTTGACAAAATATATAGAGCTGTGGTATTTCATTCAACTCAAATTCTTATCTAACTAAAAGAACCAAATTTTTGACTGCTAAGATCTGATCTTTCTAAAAGTTCTTTTAAATATAAAAACCATCTCTGGCAATGTTGGTACTTTGAGTACTCACCCCATTTTCAAAACTTTCAATTAGTCATCTGTGTTTATGTACTTTTTTAACAACAGAATGACTTTATAACATCCCTCTTTCAAAAGTATGAATTAGTCATCCATGTTATTGCAATTGTTAATAGAATTATCAAAACTCAACAAAACACTGAATTTGTAAAAAAAAGTTTAGAAAATTACACAGCAAACCTATCACAAACTTAAATAAAAGCAAAACATGTTCAAACATGCTTATTGTCTTTGCATTTTCTTCAATATATAAATATGTAAGTAATTTTATTGGTAAAAAATGATATAAACACTACTCTGAAAACTATTTTTACAAAATCATTTTTATGATACGGCATTAGATGAAATTTCGATTTAAAAATTTTGCAATAGAAGATTTTTATTAAATTTGAACCACATACACTCAGAAATCAATATATATCCATAAGTCACTCTTAGTAGGCATTATATTTATACATATAATTGTTTTTTTTGCAAACTTTTTTTCTTCTTCTCTATATTCATAAGCAATGGATGGACAGACATTCATTTTTCAAGAATTTATTTTTCTCCAAGTAAAAAATGTCAAAACTGGACAAAATATATAAAGAGTTGTAGTATTTCAAGCCATGGTCTAAAACTAAGGAATAGCAAATTTGTACTGGAAAAGTTGTTTAAAAAACTTCCTTGTAAACAGCATTTTCTATATTTGCATCTTCAAGAACAAAGTTTGAATCAATAAAAATAACATACCCTGGATAGAGCTATGCAAGAGCTGACCATGAGAAAAAATTGGCTCAGCTATCAGCTAAGGTAACTCCTATGGACAGATATCTGTTTTCCCAAATTACATTAAATTGTATTTATCAGTATAAAAATAATAATTTCTTAAATTCCTACAGAAAAGTCAGTTTTAATTTCAAGAGAGACAAATAACACTAAAATATTAGAAAAATCAAACTAGATACAACAGAACTGCCTGAATAATTCAGTTTCAAAAATAAGAAGTTCATACCTGAGAATATAAATCCATAATTCTCAATGTGACTGTTTCAATAGACCACTGAGACATCATATAGTAGGCTACACCTGTTTTCAAATCTCGTTGATTTTCAAGACTAAAAGTAAATTATAATGCAACTGAATTTCTGTTCATTAAAACTTGATTTTCTAAGAAATATTCCTGTGATTACAGTACTTTGTAAGATGAAAAGGTTTAAGATATAGTACACTCAAAATAATAGCTTATATATATATATATATAGAGAGAGAGAGAGAGACAAGGAAAACACTGAAGCATACTCAGAACTGCACTTTTTCAGAAGCTGAAGATGGGGAAATGCTTTCTAAATGCAGTTTAAATTCAGTTCACTTCATGAATGATCAGCCAATGTTCAGTTCTTAAGTAAATAAAGTGTCAATTTTCTTGTTTCAAACTTTTAACACCATGCCTCATCTCCTTCAATCCACTTACAATTCACTTTTTAATTCACTTAATTAATTCACTTTGTATTTCCACATACTAAGTCCACGAACCTCTTGTTTTTGCAGAGATCATGGGGAATATGTGCATGTATAACCCTGAATTACACCTTTAACATTGGATTTAGGTAAGAATAAAACTCTTTAAGAATGATCACAAAATAACACAATAATGTAAAGCAGGCCATTACATTAAAAAATTGAAAAGAAATAATGCACACTTGAGTTATTTTCAGATCGGTAACAAAGTGTAGATTTGAACTTAAGGTTCAAAACACATTAATGAATGAAATTTTGAATTTTTGATAGTACAAGTCTAAATAACTACTGATGACTTTGCAATAGTTAACATTTTCTTAAATCAAAAATGTATTTCAAACAATACTTACCTCCCCTCACTACAGCTATTACCCGACTGCTATGGTTTTTTTCCTTTGCCCATCTAAGCATTGGTCTGATTATTTTTCTCTCTTACTTCAGACTTTTATTCCCCACGTAACTGTCCTTGGCAATATCTGTCTTGTGACACACTCCACCCATGTCAATGTACCCTCTATCCTGGTATTGTATATAAGCAGCACATTGATAATGTTATCACTTTTTTGACACTGACCCAAATTGCAGTCTCTAACCCCGGCTGTTAGTAGGGAGGAAGGGGGGGAGTGTGTGAAGGAGGTAAGTATTATTGGAAATACATTTTCGATTTCAGAAAATATTAACTTCCAAAACATACTTACCTTCTCTCACACTACAGCTAGAATCCCACACTGATAACATGGAAGGGCCGGTGAGGGCATTATCCTTACAGAATGCATCTGCATAGATCATGGGGGTGCCAACAGAAAATTAGCACCTGAGTGGGGGAACCACATTACATCCAGAACAGGTATGCTCTTCACCCAGAACCTAATTCATGCACTGCAGGTGGAATTTGACCTGATCTGTCATCACTATTGGCCAAGCCCCAACCAGGTAGTTGAGGTTCCACTGCTCAGGGTTGGAATTATAGGGCCATGGTCTCTAAATCCTACATTGGTGGCAAGGCATTTGGACCAAAATATATATACTTGTGAGTGGATCCCAACCTGCAGCTATAGAGTGATGCATTCCAAGCCACTGGAATCATGACAAGAAGGTAAGCAACACTGAAATGGCCAAACTCTCTCCTCAACCTGAATTAATCCGAAAGGCAATACCCCAAACTCAGAATGACGGAATCCTGTACACAACCTGAGGAAACAGAAGTCATCTGGTTTGGAATTATGAACCCACATCTTCACTCCCCAACCATATGGGCAGAGTAAATTCCAGTTGCCCCAGGAATTATGGGAAGGACGTGGAACAAATTATGTTCAACCAAGGACCCAGGATTGGACCACTCGTTGTTTGGAATTACAAGGAGACAATGGACCCTCTTCCATGAACAATGTACTGAACCAATATTGCTCAAAAAGAATGGCCACTCCCAACCCAACCGGATATCCGAGCTTCAAATCTGAACTGGTGTTACAGGCAGGCTCCCACATAGGCTAGTACCTCTCCTTCAAATATCCAGGAAAGAAAACATCCAGGATCAAAGAGTGGAGGAAATTCACTTGAATACTCTGGAGGAATAACCTTTGTCTACCACCCCAGTCACTGGAAACCAGGAATGGTAAGGGCTCCCTAGCTCCACTAGCAGAATACAGGTAGTCCTGAGGAACAATGCTCTGGAAACAGTGTAACAGGTGAACCAAGTTATCTCAATTTTTAAAAGCAAACCAATGCCGATTTATTCAATACAATGATTTTCAGGGACAGGAAGGATCCCCTCATACTTTACTCATGATAGTCCATGATCCAGTATAGTACAGCAATACCACCCAGTCTGCCTCTAGGTTGTCTATGGAATATCTTATTTCTACAGAGCCTGTTGCAATGCATATAAAGTATATTTTGTGAATGGTTGCTAGTGCGAATTAGTTTGGGATCCTGTGAAAAAGAGGTAAGGGATTCTGGAAAGTAACAAAATAGACAAGATTAATCTATCATATGTGGTTAAGATAGCTACAGGGGGTAGTCAAAAACCCTCAGAGGAAGATATTGAAAGATCCTGCAAATAATGTGAGATATAAGTATTGGGGGAAGTCCATGTACCAGCCTGCACAATGTCCTCCAGTGGGCAATTCAACCGGGCTGCTAAGGACATAGAATATGACAAATCTGATGAGATGTGACTCAGAGAAGTCTCCTTGCCTCTAAAGAGAGCCCAGAATAAGCAATATGGATCAATTTACATACCCACCTCATCAAGGTAACCAGGGATAAATCCCAGGAAACTGAAGGATCTCAATGAATAAAGCACCTCTAAAAACATTAGTGCGGGCAACATAACACTTCAAGGCCCTCATCAGACATAACAAATGATCGGGAGCAGATCAGTCATAGAGTTCAGCTGATTTGGTAAAAAGAATATATTCCCTTCCCTGGCTGCCAGTATCTTAGGTAAGAAGGACCTGTCTGGGTATAAGAGAACGTACATGGAATGATAAAGCATCCTGTGCACATGCAGCACAAACAACTCTGACCAGTGATGTCCACAGGCCAGCAGCAACAAAAATAAACCTTAAGGGAAAAGTGATACATGGCATATGAGGATAAGATCTCAAATGGATGTCAAAAACGAGCATGTAATACCACCTTAATATCTCAGTTAAGTAACTGAAATGGTCTTTTGGGATGAGGGATCCGAAGTGTCTTGAGGTGGTCAAAAAGCACTGGGGACTCGAATAATTTCCATCTCTTTGAGAATCTAAAGATAATCAATAAAGCCTCCTTATATAAGGTGATTATGAAAGACGCAAAACCCTTGTCAAAGAGCCAGGTCAAAAAACAAGCTGTGGTTGGCACTTCTGGATGAAGTGGGTTCAACCTTCTTACAATACCCCATTGTAGTTGATAAATGTCCATCATGGGACAATGCAGATACTGAGACAGATACATGACCACCTTAGAAATTAAAACTTGATGCCATGCGAAGGATTGCATAACTTCCATGCATGAAGCTTGAGCTTCAGGATGGCTTGGTTTAAGATGTCACATCATGTCTGCTTCAACAGAGATGGCCAAAGAAGAAATGGAAGAGTGGGCACTCATGAAGGTACCACAGAAGTGGGAACCACGGTTGAGCCAGCCAATCCAGTGCTACCAACAGAACCTGACAAGAAGTTGAATAAGTCATAATTAGGACTCTGGGTGACAGATGAATTGGTGGAAAGGCATAGAGATGCAATCCATCCAGTCCAGACTGAATGCATCTATTGCCAATGCCCAAGGGTGAGGTACCAGAGACCAAAATGCTGGTAGTTGAGTGTTCCAATGAGTGGCAAATACATTAATCATCTGTGTCCCAAACCGAGAGCAAATCCAATGGAAAATCTTGTGATGCAGCATCCATTCTGTTAGGAGAATCCAGATGGATCGAGAAAATCAATCTGCTATCAACATGGCAAGCTAGTAGGATGATATGATGCGAGTGGGCCCAATAAAGAAAATCCAATGTTTGAAAACAAAGATATTACAGTAGAAGGGTAAACCAAATTTGAATTTTAAATATTTCTTTAAGTATTTATCTGGTGATAACAATTTTTCATTATAAAGTTTCATATTTTCTTTAGCATATAATTCTTCAATGAATGTATGAACTGTAAAGCAACATACATTTGACTGAAGTGTACATAAAGTCTTGCTGCCCAAAATTTTGTAACATGAACAACTATTTTCAAACTGAACTATTACAGAACATAAACTCATACTTAATTCATTCTTTTCGCACGACGTTCATTTGCAACAGTCAGATTTGTTTCTAGCTTGTAAAAATTGACTTATTTTCAGCAGTATTGTAAACTTACAGGACAAAGCATCTGAATTCCTGGTTACCACTTATAGGCATGTTGGCAACTATCCCATAAATATGTTAATTAAATATACCATACAATAAAAAAATATTATATGTTCAGAAAAATACATTTAATCTTTAGGAAATCAGACTGAAGATTAGTTGTCAAGCATCTAAAGCCAATAAAATTACAATATGACTCATGCTTCCTAAAACAGATAAAGTTTTATCCAGAGGCAATGAAAACAAATAATAATAATACCAGTATAATGTAAAATATATCTATTTTAATTCCTGATTATATTTTTCTTTTATCCTCGATCCTTTTTTGTTATTTTTTACCTTTAGAACATTGGCTTGTATATTTGTTAGAAGGTGTGTTATACAATGAATGATTGATCTACAAGTTTAAAAATAATTCTCTCTAAAAAATTACAAAACACATTACTGAAAAAATTACAATCAATGGTGACCAACAAAATGACAGCTCATACAGAAAAGCTCACACGTCAGAACGTATATGTAATAATTGTGTATCTTAATTTCTCTAACCAATCAACTTCAAATTAGGACTTACTAGACCACCCCTATGGTAGAAAAACTAGTAGTTTATTGTGTTACACAAGACCATTATGAAAACATTAAAAAACTGATATTTCCATCTATAATTTAATCATTTGTCATCATCTGTTAGGCATCTTTCATTTTTTGATACTCATGTGTCATTTGCAAGATACTGAAAAGTATAATACCCACAAAATTTCAAAATCATTAAGAAACAAATGATATTTATACACAGTAAAAACAAAACAGGTTCTCAACTTTCCACAAGAATGTATGTACAGGAAAAGCAGGTGTAAAGCTCAATGGTAATAGGGAAAACATATGCTTACAGAGCTGAAAGAACATTGGTAATAGCTTTCTTCCAATATTTAAGTATTGTTTAGACCTGTCTTCTATAATTTGTTTTTGAATTACAATGATCATTAAATTAGTAGAATCTTTTCTTTATCCATTTACTGAAAAGAAAAAGTGCTTTTCAAAAATACTGACCATTGAAAGGTATTAAATATGTAAGGTACTCATACCCTAATCCATGTTGTAGCAGCCTCCATTCACAAAATAACAATGAGTTTTCAATGAGGCTAAAATAATTCAGTACAAGTATTCAGCTGTCAGAATAATTAAATTTTTCTTTAAAGAAATCTTAGCCTTGTTATCCATGCAGCAGCTAGGAAGCTTATCATACCATAGAACAGTTGGAGTAACACTGATGAAATTTTACATTAATACAGTAATTATATATATAATATTTATCATAAAATGACAATTACATGTAATATTTAATATATGATTTGTTTTGGCTTAGGTTATGATGCATTCATTATCAGGTAAATGTTTCAACACGAGAGAATTTTAAAAAATTACAATTCTATTACTTTATAAAATTTTGTGAGGAACATAAATAATGAACAAAATTAAATTAAATATACGTTAAATACTGTAAGAAGGTTAGATTTCAGCATCACTTTGCCAACCTAATGTGTTCCATAAATCAAATTTCAAAAACAAGTTGAGTGTAACTATGTTTTTGTCACCATGAGAATAATAATGTAATGTAAACTTGAATTATACACCAAATATATCTTCATTCTTTATTAATGAATTCTTTCACTGTATTATAACAGCAGTAGGACAACAGATAAACATAGTATAAGAAGCCATGGTTTACCAGATAAAATGGTCTCCCATTAAGCCACATGATGTCCTATACAAGCTGATAGTCTTGGCACAACAACCTTGTTCCCCATAAAGTAACAACTGGGCTCGAAGGATCATGTGAGCCTCACTCAGTAAGTGAAGATAAGTTGGAGGACTTGAGATCTTGTTACAGTGACCCATGTCTAACTATACCAAATAGAAGAAAGAATTTGTTCTTGATTCTCAGAAAAAACACACTACATCATATCCATATATACACTGAGTGGTCACAAGTAAATAGACACCAAATTTTTCATCATTTAACTGATTTATGCTAACTAATTTGTGTTCACAGAGCACTATATAAATGAAAATGGTACGCACACTAATTACAATCTTGTGCTACAACATGCCTAGAACTCAAGGTTCTCTTGAATTGTCAGATTTTGTTAGAGGAAGAATAGTTGGTCAAGCAGATGGTGGAATAAGTCAGCGGCAAATTTCACAGAATTTGGTAATCCCGCTTTCGACACTCAACAGAATCATCGTGCAGTTCAGGAAACATGGCAAGGAAACAACTGAGCAGTGTCTGGGTCGTCCTGGTCCATCGGAGAGGACAAAAAGGGCTGTCAAGAGGAGCATTGAAATGGATCCCAGATTAACAACTGCAGATGTGGCCAAAGTTGGTGGGATGTGCCCAAAATCTGTTCAACGGATTCTCCACAGATTGGGTTATCATTGCAAAGCAGCTAGACGGAAGCCCTTATTAGGACCTGCCAACATAGTCAGACGAAAGAAGTGGGCAAGTGATATGATGACCAAGCCTCTGGACTTTTGGAAGACCGTATTGTTCTCAGACGAGCCAAGATTTGCTCAATTTTCGGACAGTGGAAGGATATGGGTATGGATAATGCCTCACCAAGAGTTTGGGCTCAACAGAT